TAAAAGAAAGGAAGAGCCTTCCTTTAAGGAACTGTGAGCTAAAATCCACAGTTATGTCTGCGGTTTTTTCCTTCAGTTGCCTCTTTAGAAGCACGAGAGAAGCAGGACAACGTGCATTTTTAAACTGTTGCCAGAAAGCAGTTATTTGCTCAATAGTTATTTGCTTACTAACCTGCTATTGAATCCCATTGTTTGTCCTGAGTACATTAAGATAAAAGGATGCAGCTATAAGGACATCCACAAATGACTCGTTGACCTACTGATGGCTATGCAGCCTTAACACCTTCAAGGGCATGCTGAAAAGGCATTAAAACAGAATTCCAGCAGTCCCTTGTGGCACCTCCTATGAAATTGCCATTAAATGCTTCTGCTTTTCTTTTGAGGCAGGTCTGAAATCGTGTGCGATCCTCTTGACCCAGAGCTGTCGTAAGATGAGCTGTGGAAAGTCAGTGTTTCACTGCAAAGCTTGGATGTAAATCATCCTAGCAAGTGTGTGAATAGCAATACAAGCATTTTCTCATCCTTCCTTAAGTGCTGTAAGCAGTGGTTTTAACAGCAGTGCCTCTCAATAGTATTTAAACTTTCCTCTGCATGCTCCCTTGCTGTTAAAGGCTTTGAATGCCGCAGGATGGTGGACCAGCTTTTCTGTGAGGAGTCCCAGTTTTATTGGAGTGCTTTGCATCAGATCACACCCAATCAGGTAACTGAGGCAGCGTGAAAATTACCTGAAGTTGAATGAAGTGTGAGTTCTTGTCTCCTGTTTGACTTCCAGCAAGTCAAGTCACGTGGCTGATAGTATTAAAGCTGGTAGAGGTAAGTGAAAGCAGGCAGGCGGTGAAAATCCAGGGAAATAGACAGTTGCCATATCAAGTTGCTGTGATAATTACTAAAGCTCGTTAGCTAAGTGAAGTTTTTCAATAGACTTCATACAACTTGGCATCTCTGCCTTTTTACATTGACCAGCCATCACCTGAGTGCTGAGAGCTGCACAAGCATCCAGGGACCCAGGTTTTGCAAGCTGAGTTCTGTTGAGTTGGAAACAACTGGAATTGCTGCAGTGGCGTTTGTGTTGCTCACTGTAATCTTTGCCCCCTGCTTTAATGTTGAAATAGCTGGAGGGATTTTGCTTGCATTCTTTCCGAGTCACTATAGGTCATCAGGCAAGCCAGGAGACTGGGAAAGCTGTGTGGAACCAGGCTCTGTACCAGCTTGTGCAGAGCTCAGCTGCACAATCCAGAAAGGAAAGCTCACCACTCCCATAGCACAGAACTTCTCCCTGTCATCCAACCTCAATCTTCCCCCCCTTCAACTTCAAACCATTTCCCCTTGTCCTGCTGTTTTCTACCCTTGTGAAGAGTTGGGCTCCCCTCCTGTTCATAGGGGTTGCAAAGTCAGCCCACTGTCTTTCTCCTGTTAACATCATTCATACTTGAACATATCTGCCATTTTTTTCTGGGGTCATTCGGTTCCTGTAAGAGAACAACAAAGTGGCTGAGATGGAACAGGGAGTTCTGACTCTTTTTCTTGTTTTTGCTGCCCATTATGTGACCTTGGGCAAATACTTCAGAAATGTCAGGAATGCTTCAGGCTCCTCCAGGTAGGCACTGTTCTCTGGGTGGCTCAGGGAGAGCTTACTGCAAGAAGTAGCTTTGATGGCTGCACGTTTGCCTTTGCCTTTCACAGTGTGTTTTAGATATGAGCAGGATTTCTTCTGAGGGGAAATGACTGGATCTCTTCCCTCAGTTTGTGCCCACTTGTTTTCAAGGTAGGTGGAAACACTGAAGTTTTCATGTCAGTCATTGTAGGGGTGTTACATGGCAATTGCTTTTACACACTTGGACTGGCAGTTAAATGATAACAGGCCTACCATGTGATTTCACTGCTTCATTCATCTTTGGAAGTGAAATGCTATCGAGTGAAATGCATATTTGGCTTATCTAAAGCTTATCCTGAGCTATCAGCTCATCAGCACAGCTGGCCTGTTCTAAGGTATGTGACTCATAAAGTTGACAAAGCATTTACCACATGTATCTTTTTTTTTCTTTTCCTTTTAGCACCTGTATTTTGTTCTTTAAACCAGGCTTTATGGAATGGCTGCTGTGATTGCAGAGCATCTCAGCTTTATGGGTTTCCCTTCTTGTGTTGAGGAGTTCCTGGTAGTGTTTATAAACACATAAATAACCAAACTTATCTCTAATGAGAAGCGACAGCTTTCTTTCCACTTCACCTGAGAGAAAAAGGAAATGAAACTCAGGCTTATTTGCAGCTGTTGTATTTGGGGTGAAGTGTGATGGGTTACTTCTCTATAAGAAGTAGCTTTTGCACTTGGAAAGGGGGCTGGTGCCTGACCACAGCCTGCTTTTCCCTTTGCTTGTAGAGGTGCTGGGCTGTACATGGCTGTGCCCATGTCTGGAGCTGGTGGTTTCACTTCAGCATTCAGCTGCTTGTCCCTGCACCAGCCACGCTGTGCACCGTGCTGAGAAACTGGGCTGGTGAAACTAAGCCAGCCAAACAGAGCAGCTGCAAGGCCTTCGTGCGGAGTTTCGGTGCCTGGTTGAATGGTCTGTTGGATTTGCTTCTGTAGCCGTTGGTCTGCTGGCTAAAACTTTAATTATCTTTGGCTGGGTGAGGTTAACGAGCTCTGGATGCTGCTGCCGTAGAGTTCTGAGGCATCATAGGATGGCGTGGGTTGGAAGGGAGCTCAAGGATCACGAAGCTCCAACCCCCTACCACAGGCAGGGCCACCAACCTCCCCATCTCACAGCAGCCCAGGCTGCCCAGGGCCCCATCCAACCTGGCCTTGAACACCTCCAGGGATGGACGGGGCATCACAGCCTCTCTGGGCAGCTGTTCCAGCACCTCACCACTCTCACAGCACACAACTTCCCCCCGACATCCAGCCTCAATCTTCCCTCCTTCAACTCCAAACCGTTTCCCCTTGTCCTGCTGTTATCTCTCCTTCCCAAGAGTTGATTCCCCTCCTGTCTGCAGGCTTCCTTTAGGTACTGCAGGCTGCACTGAGGTCACCCTGCAGCTTCTCTTCTCCAGGCTGAACAAGGATGTACCACGTTATTCTGACTTCCACAGTGAAGATGTGGTGGACAAGTAGAAAGTTTATTTTCAGTGTCTGAATCCCTCTCTCTTTATTATCTCATACTTAGGGGCATTAAACAAGGAAGTTGTCTGTGTGATTGGAAGCCCGTTCCCTGCATGATGGGCTGACTGGGACAGAAGGGAGGAAGAGCAAAGGCCACACTGGAGGTTGAAATTGTGTTCTCACAGCCCAAAACAGAACATTCCCCTTCCAACTGGTTTGTAAGCAGTGAGACCTGAGGTTTTTACAATGAATTCCAGACTTGGGGTGCAAACAAGTCACAAAACACAGATAAGAACTTGGCTGTGCTCCCTGAGATGCAAGTGCAGGTCACGATGCTCTGGAGCTTGTGAAACAGAAGAGGAAAAACTTGTTTGACTTTGCTTGAGGGTGAATTCATTGTAGCATATTACTTCAACCTGTCACGCAATTAGCTTGTAATCCAAAAAGGAACTGGAGAAAGTTGCCCTTCTTGTCAAGAACTGCTCTCTGGTTTAGTTTCTTTGTTTTTTATTAATTGGGAAGCGTGCTTGGTCGGTGGTTGACTTGTATGCTGCTGAAGCTGGGAGGTTTGAAACCTTGGCATCTTTCTTAAGGCACATCGGGGCGGCTGTGTTTCTCTGGTCGAACTACCCAGGAAACTGCACAGCTTTAAGAGCAGGTTTAATGGATGACTTCCATGTAGGTCTGTAACGAAACATTCTTGCTGTCATCATTCTCAATGCCAATTTCTGACCAAAAGGACTGTGTACTCTTGCAATTAAGACTTACTTTACATTGTGTGCACAGCCCAGGGAAGTGGCCGTCCTGTGACCTTTCTTGGCATCCCGTGGTCCCATCCTGTGGTTCATCCCATGATGAACCATTCTATGATCCTGTCCCAGGCTGCTCTTGAAGTCTGATAAATGAGCTTAGCAGAAATGAGGCTGAAGCTTCATTTGTGCTTTTGAGTCTGCCACGTGAATAGAAATTGAATATTCTTTCAGTGTTAGTTTTCCTTCCATTGTAAGTGCATTCCTGTAGGATTAAGTGAGAACTTTAAAGCATGGTGTTGTCGTTCCAAACCCAATAATGACTCTTGTTCAAAACCTTTTAGGACTGACTGCATACAGGCAAGCTTTGGGTGGGCCAAAAAGGGTGGCAGCCACTCACTGGCATCCCTAGGGAAGGGAGGCAAGGCAGTGGGGGAGTGGGTTTTGTAATGGAAGATTGATGAGAACGTTGTTTATGGGTGCTGAGTTCACTTGACTCTCTGTTATGCATGCGCTGGCTTGAAAGAGGAAGCAAAACCAAGCAGTAACTTCAGAAACAAAACTGCTTTGAGTAGTTAATGATAACCTAGGAAGGATAATTTTCCCTCAGTTTCTGGATGTGTATCTCTGTTGTGTTCTGCTTTTTATTTAGGGGTGCTGCAGCAGTTCCCAGGGTTGCTGTGACTGCAGGGAGCCTCATTCAGCCCATGACGATGGCAGTAGTTTGTTGGAGCTCCTTGTCTTCTAATTCCTCTCAGGCAAGCTTCAGGCTTGGCCCTGTTTCCAATGTGATGATGCAGAACACTGGGTGATACGCTGCTCTTCTGTGCCAACACTGTTGTGTGTTCTGGGAAGTGATAGTTGGAGTGATTTAGATGTGTGGAGTGAAAGTTATGCACAGGACATGAGGAAGAGTAGCATGTCCTGTGCCTCACTTTTGCTTCAGCTGAGCCCATGCAGGCTGGCTGCTGCTCATCCAGGCCACTCATGATGGCTTAACTGAATGCTTATTGTTAACGCCAGGTTTCTGCCAAAAAAAAAAAAGTTTTTTTTTTTTTTTTTACAAATCATTAAAATGCATATGTGATGATAAGAAAAGCTTCAGCTCAATCTGAAGTTCCTGGAACTATTCCTTATTTCCTTGTGTTTTGTAGCGCCGGCTTCGCCACCTTCGGAATATTGCTGCACGTAACATCATCAGTAAGAATGGTTATCGCCTCTTGGACACGTACTTCACTCTCCACCTGTGTGATAACACCAAGATATACAAAGGTAATCAGCCTTCGTGTCAACTTTCTCACCAAGTATTCTTTTAGGACCCTGGCTTTGTATTCTTTTTTGCCTCATCAACCTGCTGCCACTACTCGCATCGTTTCTATGAGCAGCAGAAGAGCACTCTTTACTTTCCTGAACTTCATAAAAGCCTTGGAGGAAGCATGCAAGGAAGCAAAGCAGATGGGGTAGAGCCTCTTTAAATAAAACCTGTTGTTGTTGCTCTCCTTTCTCTCAGCTTAAACTTTGAGTTTAAGGAGTTCAGAAACTTACAGTTTCACAGGAAAGCTAAAGCTTCTGGACACCAGTTATTTTCCTGAGCATAACCCAGCACTTGATTCCACTTGGTTCCACTTCCCAAAATACTCTTGTCAGCCAATGGCAAGAAACATCCATTCATCTGTTCTGCTTTCAACACTTGTGAACGTTAGAACTCGTTCCTAGTGCTTTGCTTCCCATTGCAATCAATAGTTCCTCCTTATGGAGAGAAGATTTTTATCTTCTCTTTGGCTCTATCAACAGCTGGAGCTTTGGAAGTGAGTTCTGTTACACCCAGGCTTTAATTTGAGGTCTCTGTCTGAAGGTTGTATAACGTGAGCCTGCTGCACGGGCTTCTGTGATGGTTGTTTGAACCTGGCATGGAACGTTCTGGGTTGTCAAAGATATTTTTTTCCTTCCATTTTAGTCAACTGAGAGGTTTTCTATGAAGTCTGTGCTTCAGCCTCTGGTGCTGTCTGCTTAAACACTCTTCTTTTGGCTGGAAGAGCCAAGGGCTGTGTGTCCAACGAAGGCCAGGGTTCTTGGTACCTCTGAGGCTCTCTTCAAAGCATCTGGAACAGCTCTCCCTTGCTCTTCAGGAATGTAGTGCAATCACTTGATCCCTTCTGCCCTCCTCCAGGAAGGTGTTAAATAACAAACCAGTCCAATGGGAAATGGCAACCAAATCCTGTAAATTACTGGCCCATGTTCTTTTCCCAGAAACCAAAGGCACGGGAGCATCTTGGTTACGATGATGAAACGTTACTAATGACTCCTAATAATTCAGTGAGTTCTCTTGCTTAAAAGAGTTGGCTGCACTTCGAAGTCTTTCTTAGCAGTGTGTTCCCGACAGGTTACACCCATTAGCATTTCTATTTCAAGAGTGTTACTTGTTTTGGCTTTTTGTTTCAAATGTGAAGATTTCTGTTGGTGTTTAAGCTAATCTAAAAGGTGTCTTTCACTCATTTTTCTTTAGAATTTTATAAGAGTGAAGTGATCAAGAACTCTCTGGTAAGTCATTTTCATATAAAAGAAACTCGTTTCTTTTGACACTGTGCATTTGCCACAGCATATAAATTCCTCAGCTGCACACTGTGACTCTTCAAACATGTATTAAGACTCTTAATTCCTTTTAGGAGCATCGTGTTCTCCTCCTCCTCCTCAGGTTCTGTTCACAAAAGTTGGAACAGTGAGTTCAGAACAGTAGATCTGCAGGTTTGTTTTCACGGCTGAGGAACAAAGATGAGTTGGTACCTCTGCACATGGGACTAAACCCTCCCAGGGCCACTTTGATGTGAGAACTCTTTGGTGTCCAGGTTAAGCTTTACAACAGATAGCTATTTCAAATGCTGAGGACACCAAACTGGCAAAGTTTATTTGTTAATCATGTTTTAACATCATAATATGATGTTAATCATATTTTTATTGGTCTCAGACACTTCTTTCGTTGTCACAAAGCTGTGTGTGTCATACCTAAGATCTGTTTACAGCTCAGCTCTTCCAAGGGTTGCCATCAGCATCAGTTGAGGAGGAGGAGGATGTGAACAAACCTGTAAATAAATTATGCCAGCTTAATTACTGGGGAATAGGTCAGAGCTTCAGTTCAGCTTCTGCAATGAAAGCTATAGTTTGGTTTTCAGAAGCTAAATTATGTGGAAAACAACACTGAAAACAACACTGCATCCACTTTACGAGTGCTTGATTTGGCTGAACTCCGTTATTGAAGTAATTGTTCAGAGCCTTTAATAGCTTGGTAAAAGCTGAAAGGCTGCCGTTCACGATGAAATGCTTTTGTGTTAAAATCCTTGTTTGCATGAAGTGCTACATTCAAGTATCGTGCTTAGAGGTCAGGACTGTCAGCTTCAGTACCTCTCATCTCCCTTTGAATGCCGACAGAATCCAACCTGGAGGAGTTTGGACTTTGGAATAATGCCTGATCGTCTCGATACGTCTGTCTCGTGTTTCGTTGTGAGGATCTGGGGTGGCAAGAAGGAGCACTTCCAGCTTCTGATCGAATGGAAGGTCAATCTGGATGGATTGAAGTACTTGGGACAGCAGGTATAGCAAAAACAGTTTTTCTTCTACTTCAGGTTTAAAGAATTGTAACAGCTAGGTGAGGAAACAGAGGTTATTAATGCGTGGTGAGTCGGTCTTGGTAGCAGCCAACAGCTCTCACTGAGCTCCCCTCACTCAGTGGTAGGTTGGGAATGGTCAGGAGAGCAAGAGTGAGGAAAAACTCATGGGTGGGTTGGGATGAAGACAATTTAATAAATGAGAGCAAAGAAAGAAGAGAGGAAGGAGGGTGAAAAACAATGCAGGGTGCAGAAGCAGTCACTCAGCACCTCCCACCAGAGATCTGATGCCCAGCCAGTCCTTCAGCAACAGCTGCCTTGGACAGAATAACTTGTTTGTGTTTCTGAGCGTGGTGTTGCACCAAAAGAAGCTCTGGCCACTCAAATCAGAATCCCAGAATCCCAGAATCCAGTCCAACCATCTCATCACCATTGCCACCACAAGCACCAAACCACATCTCGCAGCTCCTCATCCAGGCGCCTCCTGAACGCTGCCTGGGACGGCGACTCCCCCACCTCCCTGGGCAGCCATTGCACTGCCTGACCACTCTCTGAGAGAAACAGTTCTGCCTCATGTCCAACCTAAATCTCTGATACAACTTGCAGCCATTACCCTGTGTGCTGCTCATTGCCTGGGAGAAGAGGCCAAACCCCTCTTCCCCACAGCCTCCCTCCATGCAGTTGCAGAGTGCAGTCAGGTCTCCCCTGAGCTCCTCTTCTCACCCTCAACAATCCCAGCTCCCTCAGCTCCTCAGCAGCCCTGTGCTCCACACCCCTCACCATTTCGCTGCCCTTCTCTGCACGCTGCAGGGCCTCAACATCTTTCCTGCAGTGAGGAGCCCAAAACTGAACCCAGCCCTCGAGGTGCGGCCTCAGCAGAGCTGAGTGCAGGGGATGCTCACCTCCCTGCTCTGCTGGCCATTCCTCATGCAGCCCAGGCTGCCGTTGGCCCTCTTGGCCACCTGGGCACACTGCTGGCTCCTGTTCAGCCCAGCACCAACCAACACCCCCTGGTCCTTCTCTTTTCGACATTCATCCAACCACTCATCCCCAAGCCTATAATGCTGCATGGGGTTGTTGTGCCCAAACAACACTTGGACCCGGCACTTGCCCTCATTGAACCTCATCCCATTCACCTCAGCCCAGCGGTTCAGCCTGTCTAAATCCCTCTGAAGGGCCTCCCTACCCTCAGGCAGATCCACACCACCTCCCACCTTCCAAGGGACGTGGCTGAACGTACTCAGCAACAGTTGTGAAGGATGTGATATAAATGCTTTTTCTGTAGTTAAATTCAGTTTGCTGTCAGGTTTCTTCTTCTGAATTTACAGAGGCTGAAAAACTGTGTTTCATCATCAAGGCTTATGCTCAGCTGCAGTGCAGAGCCATAGGAAGTTGGCCTTAAAGTCATTTGTTTTCTTTTCTTACAGATACATGCAAGAAACCCAAATGAGATTATTTTTGGTCTCAATGATGGTTATTATGGAGCTTCGTATGAGCAGAAGGTGAGGATATCATTTACTTGTTCAGCTTGTCAGTACTGGCAATGAGCTGAAATTCAATTTCTAGACTGAAATTTTCATGCTTGGATGCTCGAAACATTAAAATATCTTGGTTTTGAGAAGGAATATTTTCTTGACACGATGCATTGGGACTGCTGCTTCTGTTGCTTGTACATTTGAGCTGTTCATGCAAGACTTAGAGCTTACCAAAGACCTAAGGAGTCCTGGTTACTGAAAATAAGCTTTGATGCTCTGTCCCTCGAGGCAGGCATTTCATTCAAACTTAAAGCATCTTGAAAGTGATGAGACTAATTTTGGTCTTTTTTTTTTTTAAAAAAAAAAAGCATTTTTCTCTTTATTTTTGTTGTCCTTCCTTGTAGTTTATTCTTGCTGCAAGAGCTAGAAGCTTTTGTTGCCCTGCTCTGGCTTCTTCTGGTCAGCTCCTCAACCAAAGTATGCTGTATAATACACACCTCCTGCATGCAACTCACTTGTCTGCAGTTCAAGCCAAACTAATTGGCACTGACTCTTCCTGTAGCATTGAGAAGCTGTGTGTACCTGAGGAATATTTCTATTCTTAACAGTTAATCCATAGCTTTAATGCTGGATATTCTGAATATGAAGCAGCCTCACTTTGGTGGGTGTACTAGCTACTATTACCAAGCACTACCTAAAACCTTTAGGAAGGGATGCTTTCTGTCAGGAGCCTGTCCCTGTAGAATCTGCATGTGATACCTTTCCCCTTTGGCAACGTCAGTGTTCTCTGATTTCTGAGGGTGTTTCTTCATTTTTATCTTCTTGTTCACTTACACTGGAGCTTACAAAGCCTTCTGACTGCAGATGTGTCCAGATGCCATTCTGCAGGTCTGCTGCAAACCTCTTGCAGCACTCAGTGCTGGCAGTGTCCTGTTAGTACACATCTCCTTAGGAATCATGATAATAGTGTTCTCCTAACTCAGTTTCTCCCATTTTGCTTCAAAGAATCCCTATTTATTTAACGATCCTTTGAACTGCTGTTGAAACAGCCAGGCTAGATCTATAAATTCTTACAATAACATGTGTTTTATTGAAGGGGAGAGTAAATATTTATGATTCTGAATGTCCTTTTCATTAAAGAAGTCTGCTGAGCCAAAGGAAGGGAACTGTTGGAATGAAACATTCTGGAGGCTTCTTATCCAACTCTGTTTCAAAACATGTTATAGATTTACAGCTGATCCATGAGATGCATGCTCCCATCTCCTATCTTGCCAACTCCTCTGTGACAAAAGAGGGGGGAGCCTGGAAGCTACTGCTGCAGAGCAATCTGAAGTAGGACAGGAACATTAAGTGCTGCCACGATTGTTTTTCTTGATTAAAGCTGGCAGCTTGCTGATCAAATTGATAGACACAAACAGTAAGAGCAGTGTGCCCACGTGAGCTCAATGGACAGCTTTGAACTCAAAGCACTGGAAATTTACATCTTTGATACGTGATGCACGTCAGCTGTTGTTTTAGAACCTTCCAGCCCGCTTTCCTGCAAGGTAACCTTCAAAATACATCTTTGTGCTCAGAATTCTTGCTCTGTATGAATCTTCTGTGCTGTAAATTGGGGAAACAGAAAGCTGTAGCACTGCATTGGTAGAGAAATGTGAGGCTTACAGCTCAGTGTCAGAACAGATGTGCTCTGCAGGCTGCTTTGTCCCTGCTCACGTCTGATTCTCCACAGAGTTGTACTTCCAACTTCTGCTGCTGTTGGAGGCTTTGGTTGGTTGTTTTGGTAGCACTGTAGTGACTTTCTTAAAACCATCTTTCTCCTCTGCCTTCCTGGCTTTCAGACTTTTTTCCAACCCTTGGATTCTTGTTGCTAACTGACCCTTAACACTTTCCCTTTGTTCTTGCAGTCATAGCTTTTCAACTAAGTGCATTTAGGGAAGCGGGGATGGCTTTCACTCAATGACTGTTGATTCCTTAAAGAAATAACAGCAGAGCCAGTAAGTGCAGCTCTAGGTAACTCAAAGCATTTAGCAGTGCTGAGGGATAAGATGGACAGAAGACAGTTATTTTCTTCAGGCTTTACTGAGCTGCAGCTCTCTTTCCAACAATCAAGCAGTAAGACTTTCTCTCTTTAGAGTACATAGTTTACATCAGCAAGGTACAAACCCTGCATCTACCTTTTTTTTTCCCTCTAATGCAGCTGGATCTCAGCCATGTTACAGAAATAAAGCCTTTGTGTGCTTGTTGTAAGTACATGTGCCTGTATCTGTAATATGTACTGCAGCAGAGAAGCAGACAACTCTGCTTCTGAAGAGCAAGCCTATTCAGTAACTAAGCTTGAAACCTTTCCTTTGCCCAGAGATGTGGTGGGTGCCCCAAACCTGAAGACATTTGGAGGCTCTGAGCACCTGATGGAGCTGTGTGTGTCCCTGTTCATTGCAGGGGAATTGGACCAGATGGCCTTTATAGGTCCCCTCCAGCTCTAAGGATTCTGACTATTCTGTGTCCTGCAAATTACCTCAGAGTAGAGCAGGTTGTGTAGAGCACTCTGTCTGTTTTATTGGGCATTTCTTTTCAATCTTTTTGTCTTATGGGGGTGAAAAGAGAAGGCTACAACGTGCTACTGGGCTGAGCTCTTCTCATCCTGCAGCCAGGTGATCCCAGGCTGCTTCACTTGTTCTCTGGAGAGCTGTGTGCCTTGCTTTTGGAAGGCACTGTTTCTTGAAACAAGATCAACTTTGTGGTTGAAAAACGCTTCCAGTTTTCCACCTAGTTGATTCAGGGTTTAAGCCAATTTCAACATGTGGTACCAAAAGTCTTGAGAATGGGAATGAGGAGCAGAGGTGGCTGCTGATAGGGTGCCTCTGTTGCAGTGTGGTGCTTAATGTGACATGCAGATCTTCAGATTATTTAGGTGGAACCTTACATCTGGCAGAAAGGGATGGCTGCTGTGTGGCCTGTGGCTCTTGCAGCTTTGTAGGTGTTGAAACTCAGCTGCACTTAAAAACCTTCTATATGAGAACAGCCTGTTGAGGCAGGTATAGAATATATAAATAGGGCTTCTTGCAGTTGTATCACCTTCTATTTTAGCGTACTTTCTCTACTTGAAATGAATATTCATGACTTTCTTTTTTTTCCCTGCGGTCTTTCAAGTTTCTGGCAGTGCTGCTGGATTGTTGGACCTGTTTACAGCTTGCTTTGTCCTGTGAAGAAACAGCTCAGAGACATTGTGCCATTTGACAGCACTTGTGTGGCTACACCTGATAGGGAGAAGTTTGCTATCACACCTTTCCAGAGTGAAGAACTGCCTGTTGGATTGTGTTGTTCTGGCTTTGTTGCTCTGTTAAGAATGACACAGTTACTATAACTTCCAGAAAGCATTCTGTATCTGGAAAACTTCAGATTTGATCTTTTAAGCATCTTTTAAGTGAAAGGAGGGCTTCATCAGTCAAAAAAAATACACTGTGTCTAGAAAACTATGTTAATGACACTGTGTTAATGACCTATATCATTGTATAGTTAAGTATAGTTGCAGCCCAGGCTTGAGCTGCCACTGTTGCCTTCTTGAATGTGTTCTACCAACAGAATGTAAGCTTGTATGAAGGTGCATTTAAAACATTAAATTCAAGATTATCTGATGTGCATTAAGACAAGCTTGTAGTCCAGATGGAAGCATTTTTGATGTCTGACTGTTCTTTCTTTGCCTTAAGGATCACTCAGGTACCCTGAAGAACAGCCTTCTCCAGGTGGATCAGAACTGCGTTCGTAACTCTTACGATGTCTTCTCTTTGCTTAGGTAAGGATGTTGAAAATACTCTATCAAGCCATTTTAGCTTTTTCAAAGCATATAGAAAGAGCTTTTCCAAGTATGGAATCCATCTTCTTTGGCTTAGATGTGTTAGGGGTTTATCTGGGCAGGGTGGATGTACTGCTGGTGGCGAGGAGATGAGCCTTGATGCATCTTTCTTGCTGTCCTTGCTGCTAACGATGAATGCTTGAGCACAGTGATGTTGAACTGCCTGCAGAGCTTGCCTGTGGACTGCCTTGCAAGCGTTGAAATCATGAAGCTTTTCTGGTAGGGAGTTTCTATGGAAAGCCCTTTGTTTTCCTCAACAAAATGAAAACTGTTCTAAAGGGATTTAAAGAATGGCATCGAAGCACCTTGCTAAAACTTTCTTGGTTAGCATGGATGCCACAGTTGGGACAAAATAGCTGCACAGCTGCTTTGTTTCTGTTGAACTATCCAACTGTACCTGTGTTTTTTGCATAATCCTCCCATGTAATCCAGAAGATAGCTGCTTGAGATGCAGTTGTTCTGGTGTGCAGTATAGAACCAGTGCTATACCTGCCCACTTTTGGTTGGTGACTCTCTGCTGGTGGAAAAACATGGGATGTGGGTATGAATGTTGCCAAAACGGCCTTTTTCAGACCTGTTTTAATGCAGCAGTTCAAGAATATCAGCCGTGGGGGGGTATAACAGAGGGTTTGTAAACTCTGCAGTTGGATTTGAGGAGTAAGCTGCGTTTAAAAGGTGTCTTACAAGGCAGCTTGTGAGCTCTGGTTCTGTAGCAATAACAGCAGGCAAACGAGATCCTTCAGAAGCAAATGCTGAGCGTGCTGTCGGAGGCGATGGGGAAAACATTTGGCTTCGTGCTGTGGAAGTTGTCGTTTGGTAGCGTTGGCAGTAGGTGTCACTGTTGTCTGCGGGAAGGGGTGGCCTTAAACCTGAAGGGAAGGTAGGAACAGTTAACTCTGGGTTGTCGTTATTTTTACGAGCTCTCTTAAAATTGGCGTGCTGCTGCTTGACTCTCTGAAACACTGCAACTAAAGGCTGCCTACCAGACTTGTGCCTTCTGTACAAAACAACCAGAGGGGTTGTTGGGAAGCTCTGGTTACGTTCAGGCACAGTCCATGGGAAGAAAACTCTTATACTAATTGATGTTAAACCTTGGTTAAACAGAAGAAAATGTGTCCTGGTCATGCATTTTTTTTTTTCTTCCCTTATTTGCTTGTGAGTCACAATGCAGAAGAAGAAACAGTTGGTTTTGGACTTGATGGACAGCAGCCCTGCTGCTAATATGTATCAGTGGGTTCTGCATGCTTCATCAGGCAGTACTGCGTTGCCTCGTTGCAGAAGTTGACATTCACAACTGCTGGCCTTTCTACCTGCTTCCCTCCTAGTGGGAAAATTCCTTGGGAACTGAGGCAAAGTTCTGTGCAGACCCAGATCCTCCCTGTTACCTCGTGCATGAAGTCAGGTTTTCTTACAGATCTGCTTTCTCTATTGCTGCTTCCCCGTGACACCTCACTCAAAAGACTGATGGTAGCATTTATTCCTTGCTGATCACCTCCAGTCTCTGTTTGACAGCTGTGCTATTTCTCCTACTGGGAAGTCTGGTTTGCCACCTCTTCCAGGAGTCCAGGCCTGAACAACCAGCCTATAAACTCTTTCCAAAGATGGTTTTTGTGAGCACGTTCCTCCTAGAAGCAGAAGAGAGGTGCAGGGCACAAGCTGAGCTGTGATTCATCTGACAGGACGTATATGTTGGGAGGAAATGAATTGCTGCCTGCCTGCTTCTGTCCATTGACCATAAAGAGAATAGGGAAGCGTCTGCTATAAAGGTTTGCGTCTGCTCACATAAATCCCACGTTTTGAAGACTTTTCTTCATTAGATGGTGTATTTGTAGTAAAACCTCACAGCTTGCACATGTGGCTCAATGTCTTATTATTTTTTTTTTTGTCAGACTGTGAATATGGAAAACAGATTGTAATGACTTTTAATTTCTCAAAGAAGGAAGCAGGTCCTGGTGATGCTGTGGTCTGCAGTTATTCTGATGGTACAACACCAACAGGGTTGCAGCATGGAGATTGAGACCATCTCCCAGTTCAGTCCTTCCTCTTGAAAGCTGCAAAATGAGAAGAACTTCAGCTGTCAGAACTGCTTTTTCTGGGGGGGAAGAAATGGTTTTTATTTTTAGCTTTCGGATGAAATGAATAGCTAAAGCTTACGAAGCTGGTGAATGGGCCTTAATGAAAAACACGTGCTTGGCTCCAATTATGTTCATTTAAAAAGAAAGGCAATTAGTAACACCAGAGAGTGTGAACAGTAGAAAAACTGGAGCGTTAGATTCAAAGGGTGCCTGTGTGCTCAGATGCTTAATTGCATGGATTTACGAGTTAATTAAGCAGGAGGAAAAGACAGATAGCTTAGCTGTACACAAGGAAGTGCTCAGCACCTCTGTAGCTCCTGAACCTTCATGCTGTGGTGTGTGGACAAGATCCCGAGGCAGCCATGGTGCAGCTAATAAGCTGTTCACACCACATGCAAGTGGCAAATGTTCTTGCAGTCATTTCTTTATGAAGAAGAGAGGCTGAAATGCTGAAGGGTTTTTCTCCCCCTTGGCCACGTCGTCATATTTCCTGACAGATTCACTTCAAGGCTTTCTGAGTGTTCTGTAGCTGGTTGTGACAGGCTCTGTGCTAACATGGTTCACCTCTCAGAGCTCACTCAGCATGGGCCACCTCTACCTGAGGTCATATTGTGGCTGTGTCCCTCTAAGTGAGCTCTCAACGTGTGCAGTACTGACTGGAATAGATTCAGATTTACTCTTCGCTCAGGTTTTTTTCTCCTTTAAACTTTGGAGGACAGTTTTTCACATTAAGAGGTATTGGGAAGATGGGATGTGCTGACAACTGCTACAAAAAGGACTTAGCCCTGTAGATTAAAATCTCTCCTTCAGTTCCTAAATACAAAAAAGCCATGTCTTGGGTCCTACAATTGTTCTTGCAGCCTGGTCTGGTGGTTGGCAGCTCCGCATGTAGCAAGGGATCATTGTGTCCTTTTCAATCCCAATCTGGAGAACTAGAGCAATTCCAGGGAGCACATGAGCTTTCATTAAACAAAGCATCTTCTCCCAGTTCTGCTGATAAGAGAATAAATTTGGCTGCAGTGTCCTGAGCAGCTGAACTTGGCTTTTCAAAGCAGCTCAAAACACCAGGTGAGCAGCTCTGCTGTTTTTCACGTTCCAATAACAGCTCAGCTTCACTGAGCTTAAATGGCCAAAGGTGGGCAGTGACAAGACACTGCTTGGAGGGGGAACAAAGCTCAGCTTTTCAACTATTACTTCCTTACTAGAGGCAGGGAAATGTATGAGCCTCTTCTCTTTTGGACTGAATCAAATGAGCAGCTGTGCAGTATTGAACCTGGTCACGTTGATCATACAACCATAGACTGGCCTGGGTTGCAAAGGAGCACAAAGCTCATCCAGTTCCAACCCCCTGCTGTGTGCAGGTCACCAACCAGCAGCCCAGGCTGCCCAGAGCCACATCCAGCCTGGCCTTGAATGCCTGCAGGTTTGGGGCATCCACAGCCTCCTTGGGCAGCCTGTTCCAGTGCCTCACTACTTTTTGTTCAGCTCTACCTCGCTTGGGAAAGCAGCTTTTTAACAAATGGATCAACTGGTGATTAATTCCTTCTGTCTTTAGCAGGGGTTGTAACTAACTAATCCTGGAGTTAATCCCTGAAATGAGGAACAAAGAGACCAAGCATGCAGTCAGTGGAAGCAGTTCAGCATCCATGGAATTACATGAGCCAAACGGGGTAACTGACTTTGGGCACCTGTCCCTTTAGGATATTGGTAGGTGTGTGGTAGGAAATGAAGGGACAGAGGAAAGATTTTTGCATTTTAAAGTATGCCCTGAGAATTATGCTGTCTGTTTCTAGCTTTTTTTTTTTTTTTTTTTTCCCCCCTTCTCTCTTCTTAGAGAAGGATCTCAATTCATAGCTGTGACCAAAGCCTTTTTAAATGTTTTTCTGCAGTGGCCAGACTTGATGTTTCTAACTAGGGAAGATTTCCACCTGGAAGACTTGGCTCTCTGCTCTGTGTAGGCAGCCAAGGCAAGGCAGGCATCCTCTTGGCTTTGGACATGAGCACCCAGGTGGCTTAAAGCCAGCATAAATAAATATGAACTGTAATCAGACCTCTGGAGTGCCTCTGTAGACTGCAGTGAGCAGCGCTGAAATGGATGAGCCTGTCAGGTGTGATCCCCTTTCACCTTAAAACTCACGTGGCTCAGAGTTGTGGGGTAGCATCTTCCTGGGATGGGAAGCAGTGATGGAGGTGGAAGTGGAAATGGAGATCTGTGCTTTTTGAGAGGCTTGTTACGGATTTCCATCTGTAGCATCACAGTTTGAGGCAAAGCACTTCCCAGGGGTTTCACTCGTGTGGTGCTAAGCTATCTGACACTGTGACTAATCAGTCATCAGAAGAGTCCATTTCCAAGCCTGGATTTTGCCAAAATCTGTGGAAGAGAGCAGTGTGGTTCATAGCAAGTTGAAACAGTCCATGAAGCCTAAGAGAATTTTTTTGTACCTTAACACAAATGGAGGATTGGCGATCTTTCTCTGCTGTTAGCCTTATCTTCAGCTTTCCTTGCACACCACGTGAACAGGTCTGCTGGGACTCTTCCTTATTTTGGTATGGCCTTCAGCACAATACACTAACTTCCTTCTCTCACCCTGGGTAGCAATCTCAATGAAGATTTAGATCAGAAAATAGCTCGCCACGCCAGGGAAGGTCTGTACTGTGTTGTGACTGAGAACAAATGCAATGGGTTCAAGATCTCTCACTGGGAGAATGCTCTGAGAGCAGTATGGGGGCGATGGTCCTGTATGGAGCAACTGCAGAATACTTCTGCGAGAGCTCAGACCATCCCTCTGCTCTTTGTCTTGTGGTAGATCCCTCCTCTGCTTCAGCTGTAGTCAAGATCTGTGAATTAAAACAAGGCTGCTAGAG